ATGTCATGTAAAATGCTTCATAATTGGCTTACATTAGCAGAATTGTTGTTGTCTTCCATTCGCACAGAAGAATAAGAATTGAGATTACATTGAGATGTGAGGGGTTTGTTACATTTATATGAGAAAATTTCATGAAAGTGGCATTTGTTAGACATGTAAAATGGAGGAAGATTGGGGGTGGCTTTTCCTAAGGTTGTGAGTGTACCACTCATCTGTGCAAGGGGGTTCGCGTGCCCTTTCAGGTGTCCCTTCCCAATTAGGCCACTCACCCACCGAGAGGTCCGGCAGGAGATCTTTATTGTAGGGAGGCGAGCAGGAGGCAGGAAGGCAGAGAGAGAGAGAGAGAGAGAGAGAGAGGAGGAAGAAGAAGCAGAAGGAGAGAGAAGAACAAAGAAAGGAAGGTCCTTTTATAAGTTTTGGGGTGGGCTATTGCTTATTTATGAGGAGTGAGCTACTTGTAACCTATCACAGGCCAGATTGCTTTTATGGGCCCAGTCCTGCAGACACAGCTTTCAACTTTCCTGGACCACTGTGGCCTTGCGGGGGAGGGAAACCAGAGATAAGGGCATGAGGTCATTTTAGGAGCCAAGATGTACCAGGAGAATGCAGCCTGTGAGGCGGCGTCACAGCATACTTTAACATGATCAATTCCCTAACAATCTGTCAGGATGGAGTTGAAGACAGAGTAGAGCAGATTAAAGAACAAATCCTACAAATCTGATGTACTTTCTGGAAAGGACACTGTACTGTCCACATACAAAAAAGTTTATACTGTTTGGAAAAGTTATTTGTAAATTCAAATAAAATTAGATTAAGATGAAGAGATTTGCCCTTAATTGTCCTCAAGCTCTTGGGGACACTGACGTTCTCCCTAAGACTGAGCACAGAGCACAGTGTGGGTCCCAGCCATGCTTCCCCCACCCAACTACTGACTTATTCCTGCCCTAGAACTGTAGCCACACCGCAGGACCCAAGTTAATACTCAACCAGGTGCCATCCTTTCTTCTGTTATTTCTCTCCCTTTCTCACATGTAATCTGATTCTTAAATCCCCTGGAGCCCTGCTACCTGCTGACAGCCTGTCCTAAAGCCAGCTTCTTTTCTGCCTGAATATTTTTCTCTGCCCTCTGTTAACACACTCTGATGCCTGCTGGTGAGGTCCCTCTGTATTTAAAATATTCTTTAAACCAGATGCTTGGCAGGTCACCCCCCAAGGACTTCTTATCTCTAGAAACCAGGTTATATTGCTGTATCAAACCTTTCTGTTCTGAGTCTCTTAGGGTTATACGGTGAAAGAGTCTATTTATAGTCCCGGCATTGTCTTACCATGTAGTTAACTGGGCCATCCCACTAATCATGGGAAAGATTCATATCACTCTGAGAGGCATGTAAATGTAGAAATGAAGCAGGTAGGTTCTAGGGTTAGGCTAAAAGGATACAAAAATTCATATTCGCCTCTTGTTATCTAGGTAACCTTGTCAAGAACTTTGAAAAGTCTACGATTTTACTATACTTAATAAGTGGCGAGTTAGTCTGTCTCAGTTTCATGGATGCTGGCAGAAGACATGAGACTCCTGGATGAGTGACAGAGGACAGTTAGTTACTCACAGAATACTAATAACCAAAGTATCAGTATTCGTGCTGATTCCTTGACCCTGATAACAGCACACACAGTGCACTGCATTTCATGAGCAGAATCTCAAATGCAGGGATCCCAATAATTTTAGAGTGGACTATGATTCTTCTTGACATCTGTCTGGAAGGAAGCAGTATTTTCATCATATTGGATAGTAAACAAGTTTGCTCTATGCTCTGGAGAGACATAGTATCTCTTCCTTTCAAGGCTAGTCACTGTACAAACACCTATGAAAGGCGTGCTTGTTTTTTCAGTGCTTCTATTTGCAAGATATACAGAAACATGAGACTTATAAAGAATTATCTCCCAACAATTTGTGTAGGTTCTCAAAGCATCAGTTTTACCATTTTAGAGATGGAATTAGTGGTGTAATGTATATAATTGTGAAAATCAAATTAATGTGGTATATATGAAATTCTTTACATCTTGCCTGATGCCTAGAACCATGCCTGTCACATTGATAAAAAGGTTTTGTTAATGTTAATCACTGTTAAGGGATTATTTCTTGCATAAGGTGCATGCATGTTTATTGCATTTTTGTTTCTTCTAGCAAATAGAATATTACATCTCATTGATATTTCTAATTATTTAGATCACAAAATATTAGAACTAAAATGATGACAGACCTAGCATTTACAGATAAGGGCATAAGTTCAAAGAAGTTATGTGACTTACTGAATTACACACAGAAAAGCCATAAAGGAAAAAAGCCAATTGATTTAAAATTCTGATTCTTTTATATTACTCATAATGTCTGATATAGCTCAATCCGTACCAAATAACTGAAGAAACTCTGTGATATATTAGAAAATGTGGCATATGGTAACTTGGTTGCAGTCTTCTTATATGCTTGACTTATAGACCACTTCAGACTAACCCCCTGAAGGCAAAATATTTTGAAAGTAAGTGATGGTGTTATTAGTCTCACTCACTCTCCAGGCTCTTTGTATCCTGAAGAAAGAATTGAGCAAGACATCCAGAAGTAGTAAGAAAGTCAGAGATTTATTAAAGGGAGAGTATACTCCACAGAGCAGGAGCTGGCAGATGAGAAAGCTTAAGAGTGAGCTTGACTCAGAACGGCCCATCTGTTTTATGTTTGAGAATAAAGTGCACTTGAGAGGGTTCCAACTGGGCAGTGCCTGGAGATGGCAATGCCAGTAATGAACGGGGAAGAGAGGCAGAGCTCAGAGATGGCAACTGCAGTGAGTTCCAGAGTTGGCTTTCCCTTTGTTTTTCTAAATCTGAGGAATGGTCAGGGTGGTGACTGACTGGACTTCTTTCCATTTAGCTGTGATTATGGGAGGGGGAGTTTGTGAATTTATAAGGGTCTAGATAGAAAACGCATGGCTTCAAAGCCCACCAGGAAGTGTCAAAACCATAATTCTAATGCTATTATAATGACTGTGGGGTTACCCTTGGTTGCTCTAAAGCAGTTAGATAGAGCACATGCCCCTAGAGTTCATGCCAGATGTCAAGGAATTGTGGTTGGAGCAGGAGCATATCTCTTAGGCTCATAATGGATATCAAGAAAGTATGGTGAGGGCTGGACCATATCTCTTAGGTTCATGCCAGGATGTCAAGGAAATATGGTTAGGGATGGATGCTCCTGTGGTCTCAAAGAACCAAAGGCATCTTGTCTTCTGTGAGCCCAAGGCCAGGATATTTCCCACATTGTCTATCTCTTGCCTCAGAGGACTTAAAATAACTAACCCATGTTTCTTCCTCTCCTTTACCCTAATCATAGATAGATCCTCATGGCAGGCAAAACAGAAAACTGCTAGGAGAGTGCTTTGCATAGAGAATATACAAAATTGTCTCATTCTGGCTAAAGGCAGATAAATATATTACAGGTTTATGTCAAGAGCTTCAAGATGGCTTATAAAAACATGCTAAGGTATAAAGAGGAGTATCAAGGAAGGATAAGGGAGTAAAAGACATAACATCTGGTTCCAGAAAGCAACATGTGGAAGGTATTTATCCTAGAAAGATCTATAAAAATGAACTCATTGATTTTTGTACCTCTTTTTAGTATTAATTTAGTATTAGTAATTAATTTAGTATTAATTAGTATTAATTTTAGTATTAATTTAGTATTAGTATTATTTCTTGCTCCTCTTTAAGAGTGAGGCCATAGCTTTAGCTTCTGTGGGGCTCTGAAATTCTTTCAGGAACTTCAGGTCAGAAATAAACATACCTAGATAACCAAAGCAAGATATTAATAGGCATGAAATGATAGGAGTATGAATTGCCTTTCATTTTTATTTACCTCAAGTCCTCTACAGAATCACCTTCCACTCCAAGTAATTTTGTTCTGGGTTCCTTAGGGTTGTTTTACACATGCTCATGTATGGGATCTGCTGGGCTCATTCCTCTGTCCCTCATCCTCAGGGAGCAGTGCCCTACCCTCTGCTGGGCACAGGCAAAACTACTTAGTATTGCCTTCCCTCTGAATATCTTCACAGGGTGTGTGTGTGTGTGTGTGTGTGTATGTAATAGTGACACAGAAACAAAAGACAGACAAAGACAGAGAGATAGAGATGTGATATAAACTGTGCTCTTTTCTTTCTGTTTAAAGAACTCCTAAAGAAATGTCACTTGTTTCTTCTACATTGTGTATAAGAAAGTTCTTGTTAGGATCAGGCCTAGCACAGCTCATTATTTCTTCTGGATGAAGGAATTCTCTCTTAGAGACTCCCCAGGCTTTATTTAAATAAGCTTTTGTACTTCCATCTTGCATTGGTGTCCAATTATATGGAACCAGGCATAGACAAAACTAGAGCTCTTCTGAGGAAGCTACTGGGCCCTCTGGCCCTCTGTTCCCACTGAACCCATCCCTCCAGACATGCTTCAAGCTGGTATCCAACTTGTGAAGTGAACTCCCTGCTACAGATGAACATATACAAAGAATTGGTTTGTATCCTGCCTACCTCCAAGTGTGAATATGGGTACACATGCCTTAAATTCTAGATATATTCCCATTCATTCACTTAGTCATTTATTTCTTACCAAAGTGAGAATACTTTAGATCTGCTGCTTCACTCTATGCCTTTGTAAATATAAACCCAATGCCCCAATAAATATTTGATTTATACCATCTTATAATTTTTAAAATATCCTTTCTGAAGTTAAGATACTAGAATCAGCAACTTCAATTCCTGTGGTTGAAATGCAAGTATTCCAATCAGATATTTGGAGGAAATGTGGAATTCCGTTAAGTGATGGATGTTTTATTTTATTTATTTATTTGGTACCAGGGATCGAACTCAGGTCCTTGTGCTTGCCAGGCAGGCAGCAGAACTACTGAGCTAAATCCCTGGCCCAGTGGATGTTTTATTTTAATGTTCTCAATGCTGTCTCTGCCTCAGGTCATGCAGATGTATCTTCCGTTTTGTGGAATCGCCATATCTAATGCTCAGCTTTTTGCTGCCTCAAGGAAAGAATATGACAGAAGCAGGGTGAGTAGAAAGAAACTTTGCTGACAATCTTCCCAAAGTTCTCTGTCATTCTGGTTTCTTTGAGTCAGTATATCTCTTAAAAACAGCTAATGATCTATGAATATAGTCCAGGATAACCTTGCAAGGCTGAAGATATCTTTTACACTGTAAGTCCAAATGGAAATGGGCACAAATTCTCCATTCTGGTTTGAGGTAAAGCACCCCAGCTTACTTTAAAAAGGAAATTAATTTCATACCTATATGGTAAGACAGTATTACTTACTCATAGCTTTGAAATAATAACATCTTTTGGTGATATTTGTGTAATTTAATCCTTTAAGAAGCAAAACATGTTACAGACATGATTTCACCCCACCTCCCAGATTTTGTTTTTGAATTGAAAGATTTTCTGGAAAAACATCACAAGCTCTTTGTGATAATTATGAGAACATTATAAAGAAACATGCTCAGAGGGAGTGTTCTCATATACTTCCAGGATTTATAGAACAAAGAGTTTTTAAAAACTATTGCTCAAAAATACTAAATTATCAAACAGATTAAATTATATTAAACCCTCTCTACCACTTAAATGTAGGAAGATTATGGATATTGGTTAGGAATATGTTTAGCAAGGTGTTCAAAAAGGCTTAAAATCCATCCTTTAGTTAATCTTCCCGTGGTCTTTACTGTCTTTCCTTGTATACAATGCCATGTTTCTGTTGTGTATACCCGTCACACTGCTTGATATTATTTATTGGTACCCCTCTTCTCCAACTTCATTATGAACTCTTTAAGGAAAACTTCATGCATTATTAGTCTTTGCTTCCTTGTGTAGAGCACAATTCATTTATTCAACAAATATTTATTGTGTGGTTCTCTTCAGACCCTGTTTGTCCAAACTGTTCTCATGGAACTTACATTCTTATTGGAACAATAAATAATAAATAAAACAAATATAATGTTGTTAGCAATAAGTACTATGAAGAAAATTAATGAGAGATAAAGAGATAGAGATAGATACAGAATAATAGGTTGAGAGGTGTTTGTTTTGGAAAATGATTGAAAAGGTGTCTATATGGAAATAATATAGGAGCAGAGATCTGAATGAAATGAAGGAGCAAAAAGACACTGGAAAATCTGCATCTGTGTAGTGAAATTATCAGGTAAGTTCATAGGCTCTGAGTCATTGTGTTTAGACAGCAGAGAGAAAGGGGGAGAATGAAAGAAAAAACGAAAAATAAAATAAAATGATCCAGGGTCCAAATGATAAAAGGGCTTGCAGCTATGTCAAAAACTTTGTCTTATATTCTGATTGTGATTGAAAGCCATTGAATGAGTCTAATTCACTTTTAAAGGGGGTCACTGTGGCTTCCTGGGAGGTAATAAACAGTTGGACACAGGGTGCCTAAAGTTTTTGGTGATGTGAGAACTGGGGATTAATATTGGGAATCATCATTGTATATATGGTATTCAAATCTAGGGGACTAACTGGGTTAATCTAGGGGGAAATGTATAGATAGATAAGAGAAGGGAAGGGCTCCAACAATAAGCCTGGAACTCAAAAAGGTCAATAGAAGAAGGAGGAACAAAATGTAGTACTTTTTTCCTGGAAAGCAAGTGACATTAATAATTGAGGAGTATTTAAATATGTGAAATTCTTCCAGTGCCTGTTGGATTGCATATCTTTCTGGATTTTCATTTCTTCTTCTCTTATTTTGGAATAATCTGCATTGTTACTGTTAAAATTTTATTATTTGTTAATAAAGCATCAATTTTCAACTAGAAACAAAATTGTGATTTGTCAGTGGCAAGACTCAAGACATATTAGTTTTTCCTCTGAGATAAATATTCTTGCAAATATGTCCCAGAGGCTCTCTCCATACAGTGGCAATAAATTGAAAAGTTAAATAATTGTTCAGCTAATATGATCCAGCTGAAGAAATAGTCTGGATGATTAAGGAAACAATACCCCCCTCCCAAAAATAGATTGGAATTCTGTTTGCAATTATTCAGACAATTTTTGTGTTTTAATATCATATTTGAACATGAAGTTATTATGCATTGATCTTTTCAGTGACTTGCTGTCCAAATGTTAAAAGAGTCAGGAGTCACTTCTAATTGTTTTTACTTCCTGGTGTTTTCTTTTGTCTTGGGATCACAGGGCATATGGCCCTTAGTCACAATTACTGTCTTTCTTTAAAGAGAATACCACTCAGGGATTTTGTTTTTCTTTCAGTGACATGGTAACTAGATTGATTTCATGGACCTATTAACTTACTTAAATGCTTTTCTATTTGAATAGATTCAGAGAAGAAATTTTCACATTTCAAATGGTTTCAGGGCAAATCAATTTCATCATTAAACTTGATAGTCTTACTCTTAGCATAATGATCAACACTATAGTGAATATATGTGAATTTGAAAATTCATGAAATCTTTTTGGGAGAGGTCAGACTCAAGATTACATATCCTAATAAATTCTACCAAAAAAAAGCAGCTTGCAATGAATTGTCACAGTGAAATCTTTCAGTTGTTCTAATAAAACCACAATGTCTACCACTATTCTGAAGACTCTAAAAGTACCTGTATCATTAAAAATTCCAAACAGGGCTGGGGATTTAGCTCAGAGGCACTATGCCTGCCTTGCAAGCTTAAGGTCCTAAGTTTGATACCAAGTACCAAAAAAAAAAAAAAATCCAAACAAATATTATTTCAAAGCATAAATTGCAAGTGAGTACGCACAGATCCCAGGGAGTAGTGGTGTGGACAGACTAGCTTGGCTGCAAGCATATCCCAGCCAGGGATCCTCCCCAACCCCAGAGGCTGGGACAAACCCACCCAGGAAAAAGCTGCACAGGTGCCCAAGCTTCAGTCTGAGGCCTGCCCCATAGCATTGGTGATTTGAACTCAGGAATTGGTGTACTGGTAAGCAGCAGAGAAAAGGCCACTCTGAGGCTTGCTGAGAATTGAAGACCACCGGGTGAGCAAAAAGTTGTCTCAATAAAGGCACAGCGGGCTGCATCTGTTGAAATGAGAAGACATGGAAACAAGTCCCAAAACCAGACTTCAGATCACCTAAGGCAACCTCATAGGAAAACAAGATAGAACAATCTGATACTCAACCACCTGGACTCCCTGAACTAGCAAAAAAAAAAATAGGATCTGGAAAAAATGAAGTCAGAAATAATTTCTCAGATAACTGCAGAGATTGTGCCCATAGTGCAGGATATGATTAATAAATCTAGAGCAGATACAGATTTAAAAAATAGAGGAGCTGAGGAACATGATGGGATCCCAACATAGGAAATAAATAGAACCCATAAAAAAGATGCAAACAGATTTCCAGGTTATTAAAAGCTCCATTGGAAGTTTACACAGCAGAACGAGTCAATGCGAAGATAGAATTTCACATATAGAAGACAGGACTGCAATTAGTAACCAGGAAAAGAACAACTTCTTAAAAATAGTAAGGGACATGAGAAATCAATCCAACAGCTGCTAGGTGATGCAAAGAAGAATAATATAAGACTGATTGGTCAATGAAGTCAATGAAGAAACAGGAGAGAGTGATATGACATTAAAAAAAAACTATTCACAGAAATAATGATAGAAAACTTCCCAAGTAGGGGGAAAGAACTTGACATACTGATAATGAGGCGTATAGGACTCCACCTAGATGTGATAAAAAAAAATCTACACATAGGCATATACACTTAAGATTCCAGAAACCAAACAGAAGAACAAAATTCTACAAGCATTCAGAGAAAAAGAAATAAATCATATACAAAGGAAAGCCTATTAGAAACACAGCAGACTTCTCAACACAAACCCTCAAGGCAAGAAGAGCTTGGAGTGATGTATTTCAAGCCCTAAAGGAAAGAAGTCTCCCACCCAGATTGATGTGCCCTGCAAAACTATCTTTCAAAATTGATGGAGAATCAAGATATTTTGATGACAAAGAGTACCTTAGGAACTTCATGAATACCAAACCAGCACTCAAAAAAATTTTACATGATATCTTAGGAAATGACAATGAGGATAACAACCCCAGGAAGCCCAACAGAAGGAATCCAGCAGGCATAATAAGAAATTAAATGCAAAGGGGGAGAATCCAATAAAAAAAAGACATGACCAGGATAAGTCAACACGTATCAGTTATAACCATCAATGTTAATGGTCTCAATTCACCAATCAAAAGAAACAGATTGTCAGAATGGGTCAAGAAGCAAGATCCAACAATTTGCTGCATACAAGAAGCACACTTAATTCAGAAAAAAACTCATAGACTGAAAGTTAAAGGGTGGAAAATAATACTCCATGTGACAGGAACCTGAAAAAAAGCAGGAGTAGTTATCTTCTTTGTAGATCATGTAAATTTCAAACCAACACTGATTAAGAAAGACAAAGAAGGATACTAATCCTTGTAAAGGGAACAATCCGAGAGGAAGAGATAACAATCATAAATATATATTCAGCAAACACTAGTGTGCCCAACTATATAAAACAAATACTAATGGACATGAAAAAATCAAAAAGCACTAACACAATAGTAATGGGGGACCTCAATACCCCACTGTCACAAATAGGTAGAACAACTAGACAGAAAATAAACAACAAAATACTGGGACTCAATCAAACTCTCAAACAAATGAATTTAACAGATATTTACAGAGTGTTACACCTCACAAAATCAGAGTACACATTCTTTTCAGCTGCTCATGGGTCATTCTCTTAAAATAGTACTCGATTGCACTCACTCATAGAACATGTCTAAGTAAGTGCAAAGGAATTGAAGTGTTTCCCTGTATATTATCAGACCATAGTGCAATGAAATTGGCGATTAATAGCAAAAGAAATCACAAGAATTTTACAAAGACGTGGAAATTGAACAGCATACTCCTGAATAACCAGTGGGTCACAGAGTATATTAAAGAAGAAATCAGACAGTTCCTACAATTAAATGGCAATGGCAATACAACATATTGGAATGTATGGAACACAATGAAAGCAGTCTTACATGGGAAATTCATAGCACTGAATATCCATATTAGGAAAACAGAGTAAGTACAATTGAACAACCTAATGCTGAACCTCAAGCTTCTAGAAAAAGAAGAGCAGGACAAACCCAAAGCTTATTCAAGGGAGGAAATTATAAAAAGCAGAACAGAAATTAATGTAATGGAGACTTAAAAAAAAAATCAATGAGGCCAAGAGTTGGTTCTTTGAAAGAATAAACAAAATTGACAAACCCTTAGCCATCATTATCAAAAAAAGGAAATAAAAGGCCCAAATCCATGCAATTAGGAATGAAAAGGGTGAAATTACAAAGGACCCAGTAGAAATCCAGAGGATCATCAATACCTACTTCAAGAACTTTTACATCAATAAGATGGAAAATACAGAAGAAATAGAAAGATTCTTAGATTCATATGACTTACCAAAGTTGAACGAAGATGACCTAAAAATTCTAAACAACCCAATATCAATCAAAGAAATTGAAAATATAATTAAAAACTTACCAGCTAAGAAAAGCTCAGGTCCTTATGGCTTCACTGGTGAATTCTACAAGACATTTAGAGAGGAACTACTACCACCACTGTTTAAACTCTTCAGTGAAATTGAAAGGAAAGCAAGACTCCCAAATTCAATCCTGGAAGCATCATCTTGATCCCTAAAGCAGAGAAAGACCCAACCAAAAAAGAGAACTATAGGCCAATCTCAATAATGAACATAGATACAAAAATCCTTAATAAAATACTGGTAAGTAGAATGCAGAAGATCATCAAGAAGATCATACACCCTGATCAAGTGGGATTCATCCCAAGAATGAAGGACTGGTCAACATTTGCAAATCAATACATGTAATACAGTATATTAATAGAGCCAAGGATAAAAACCATATTATCATCTCAATAGATGCAAAAAAGCATTTGACAAAATCCAGCAAGCATTCATGATAAAAAACCTTACAGAAAATTGGAATAGACAGATTCTACCTTAATCTAATGAAAGATACCTGTGAAAAACCAACAGCCAATATCATACTAAATGGTCAAAAAATGAAATCCTTCATGCTAAAATCAGGAACAAGACAAAGATGTCCACTATCACCACTCCTGTTCAATATAGTTTTGGAAACATTAGCCACATCAGTTAGACAAGAGAAAGAAATAAAAGGAATAAAAATAGGAATGGAAGAAGTCAAATGGTCATTATTTGCAGATGACATGATTCTCTTTATAGAAGATCCCAAGAACTCCACCAAAAGTCTTGTAGACTTAATAACCAAATTCAGTAAAGTAGCTGGATACAAGGTTAACAAAGAAAAACCAATAGCTTTTCTGTACATGGAAAACAGACTCATTGAGAGAGAAATGGGGCAATCAATTCCTTTCATAATAGCATCCAAAAAGTTGAAATGTGCAGGAATCAACCTAACAAAAGAAATCAAAGACCTCTACTGTGAAAACTATAACACTCTGAAAAAACAGATTGATGAGGGTATCAGAAAATGGAAAGACATCCCTTGCTGCTGCATAGGAAGAATCAACATAGTGAAAATGGCCATACTTCCAAAACTGCTATATAGATTCAATGCAATCCCATTTGAAATTCCAGCAGCATACTTCACAGACCTTGAGAAAACAATCCAAAAATTCATTTGGAACAAGAAGAGACCTAGAATAGCAAAAGTAATTCTAGTCAATAATGACAAGGTAGTGGGTATCACAATCCCGATTTTGAAACTATACTACAAAGCTGCTGTGGTAAAAGCAGCATGGTACTGGCAAAGAAACAGACCCAGTGGAACAAATTAGAAAATGCAAAAACAGCTCCAGACATACTCAGCCACCTCATAATTGACAAAGGAGCCAAACACCCTCACTGGAGGAACAATAACCACTTTAATAAATGGTGCTGGAAAAACTGGATTTGAACTTGCCAAAGATTAAAACTAGTCCTATATTTCTCACCATGCACTAAAGTAAAATCAAAATGATTAAAGATCTAAATATTTAAACAGAAATGCTAAACCAGCTGGAAGAGACATTAGGTAGAACTCTTGAAGACTGGTGTAGGAAATGATTTTATAAACAAAACCTCAGTTGCCCATGAGCTAGCACAAACTATACTCCCCTTCCCATTTCCCCTTTAGACATTTTCTTCCAGTTGCACACTACCAATTATAGCATTTGAATCTTAAGGGAAAAGAAAAAAATGTGTAAAAAAGAAAATATGGAAGCAAAGTCTTTGTAAATATGGAAGGGTGAAGCAGATGAAGGTAGGACAGAGGTATGGGGAAAAAACAAGAACCAAGACATATCATGTAAAGGTACGAGATCCCAATGATAAATGTAACTGTATTGTTTGTTTTCAATGTACCAATAAACTTAGTTTTAAAAAAGCTTCTTACAGCAAGAGAAACAACCAACAGTATGAACAGACAATGCACAATGTGGGAAAAAAAATCTTTACCAGCTGTTCCTCAGACAAAGGTCTACTATCTAAAATATATAAAGAACTTTAAAAAATCAGACCTTCCAAATTTAAAGACCCAATTCAAAAATGGGCATCTGAAATAAACAGACATTTCTCAGAGAAGCAGAAATAGCAAATAAACATATGAAAAAATGTTCAACATCACTTGTCATTCAAGAAATACAAATGAAAACAATGCTGAGATTCCACCTCACCCCAGAAAGAATGGCTGCTATCATGGAATCAACCAATAACAAATTCTGGCAGGGCTGTGGGGAAAGAGGAACCCTGCTCCACTGCTGGTGGGAGTGCAGACTGGGGCAACCACTGTGGAAGTCAGTATGGAGATGCCTCAAAGAACTAGAATTGCAGGTCCCATTGGACTCAGATATGCCCCTGCTGGGTATCTTCCCTAAAGAATTGAAAGAATCACATAATGATATCTATATCTATCTATCTATCTATCTATCTATCTATCTATCTATCTGTCTATCTATCTATCTGTCTATCTATCTTATCTGTCTATCTATCTATGCACCCATGTTCACAGCAACATAATTTGTAATAGCTAAAACTTGGAAGCAGCACAATTGCCCATCAATGGGAGACTGGATAAAGAAAATATGGCTCTTTTATAAAATGGAATACTACTCAGCCATAAAAATGATAAATTTGAGACATTTGTAGCTAAACGGATGTACATTGAGGTGATACTCTTAAATTATATAAAAAGGACACACATGTGAATACTAAATAGTTTCTCCAGTGTGAGAAACTGAAAATGTAAATAAAGACTAAAAGGTATAATAGATAATGTGAAATAGGAAGAAAAGGGATAAAGAGGAAGGGGAAACAGAAAGGGTGGGGGAAAGGAAAGAAGGGAATGGAATTAATACAAGAAAATGAAAAATAATGGAAGCAAAGTCTTTGTAGAGTGGGAGGGGTTAAAGATAGGGCAGGGGAATGGGGAAAAAAATAAGAGCCAAGACTGATTATGTAAAGGTACAAATTTCCAACAATGAATATCATTATATTTACATTAAATGTACCAATGCAATTAATTTTTAATTTTTTTTAAAACCATAAATTGCAAGCTCACTTCCCCGGAAAAAGTGGAAGATCATTGCAGTTTAATTTTTAACTGAGTACACAGTGTTCAAGTTAGAAGTTAACGTTTTTGTCTTTAATTTGTGTGCTTTTTGATCTGTTTCTTCAGTAGTATGTAAATGTTTTCCTGGACAGTTGAGGGAGAGGCAGTATTTCTTCGTCTTATGGAGAGGGATTAAGGCGAGTTTTACACATTTTTTGTAAGCTCTGAATCTTAATTAGCATTCACCTCCATGATTCAGAATTCCATGACACATGTGTATTAGTGAAAAAAAGTCCCAAGTTTGACTATGAAGCTATTTCTTCCTGATAGTGAAGAAAGTCTGCTTTGTAGTTTTGTGAAATAAATGTACTTTGAAGAAAATTATAAGATGTTAGATTTGTAACTAGTCACATAGCAAGAAGATTACTGTATCAGGGATAAAAGCCTATAACAAAGGACCACATGGTTCCTGTTATTTGGAAGGTCTCCATTCTGCAGTTGTATTTTACAGTTTAAGAGTGTGTTATAAAATGAAATGATGAAACTATGCTAAAACAATCATTAATGCTTTAAAAATTATGTACACAAAATATTTATATTAGTAGAGCACAGACTTCATGGAGTTTTGAAGGCATAAGACACAAAGATTTTTCAATCTTATATCCACCTAAAAACATCCATCTCCTGTTTCCCAGGCTTTGTTAGAGGTGGTTAATGACCTCTTTGAAGAACAGACTGACCTGGAAAAAATTGTCAAAAAAATAATGCATCGAGCCCAAACTCTTTTGAAATGTGAACGTTGTTCTGTTTTACTCCTAGAAGACATCGAATCACCAGTAAGTTACTTTTATTTTTCATATAGAGCCAAGGACTGTGAATGGAATAAAGCTGAGTTTATCTGTAATTAAACTTGTGAAATTGTCACTGGAACGACCCTCTTTACTATTCTAACCATGGAGTGACTGTTTTGTAAATGAGTTTATAGAGTTATTTATTTATTGCAGTAGCAGGCATTGAACTCAGGGACTTTGCACTGAGCTATATCCTCAGCACTTCTTTTATGTACTTATTTTACAGTTTTGCCACAGGGCCTCACTAAACTGGTAAATTGCCCAAGCTGGGCTTGAGCTGTGGTTCCTTCTGCCTCAGCCTCTCAGAAGCGGGCATTACAGGTGTATATCACCATGCCCAGCTATGAGAATTTATTCCCTTAGACATTTTTTCATTGTTGTTTTGCCCTTACCTTAGAAACATAGACCTTTTGAGCTGGGGGGGACTTTTGAGATCTATCCAAGCACTGTGTATTTACAGATGAAAAAAATAAGGAAATACTAACTGGTTTCCCTTGTTTTACATGGATTAACTAGAAAGAAACTCAAGCACTCTCTGGCCATTTTATATACCCATGAAGGGGAAAGCCCTCAGTATTGCTGGAAGTGCACCATACTGCAACAAAGCCTTTTAGCCCTTGATGGGAGAAGGAAGCAAACAGACAACTGGAGAAACAGTGGCTTTAGCTCTTGGAGCCTCAGCCAGGCTGTTTTCTGTGGCAGGTTGTCTTGCTGGCTTTTCCAGGCTCTTTCCTGCTGCTTTGGATTCATAGCTCCTGGTACAGAGCAGCCTAATCAGCTGAAGGAGGACCTGTCCCATCTCACCACAGGGTCTCCGGGTACTCAGGACCTCGGGCTGGCTACACTCAGATGATTTGTGGCCAGTATGAAGTTCTGCTCCACCCTTTGGCTCTAGGGGAAAAATCCACTGGGCAAATGCACAATATTGAAAATAATGATCATCATCCATCAATGTTCTTAAAAGTTAAATATCTAAACCCTTAACATCAATTTAATGTCTTTGCTGAGAACTCTCTTCAAAGACCAGTTGTTTAGCAATTAAGAACTGTTTTAACACCTCTGAGAATGATATTTTTTGTACTATACTTAGATTATTATCTTTGTGTTTAGGTTTACTTTTTCTCAAAAAATAAGAACTTAAAGATAAATTTTAAATATGTAATAAGTATTGTAAAATAACAGTGATGTATATATCACACATATATGTGTGTATGTATGTTTAAAATGTTGAGAAGTATTTTCACAGATTTAAGCAAAGCTTAGTGTTATTTCTATTTCATTGGGTGTGGTTTACATAAACAAAGGCCTTGCTAATATGCTGTGATTATGGAAAACTTAGCTGACCCTTGGGAGAACACACACACACACACACACATACACACACAATGTTGTTATTTATGGATTGCTTCAGACACTCAAAACATGAATTTTTAAATCCTCACTTTGTAAGTATTATCATTACTCTCATTTTATAGATGAGGAAATAAAGCTGTTAGAGTCAAGTGACTTGCCAGAGTCTTCCTTACTACATGACTGTAAAGACCCGGACAGGAAAAGGAGTAGGGGTGTTCATTGGTATCTGGCATGCTGCCAGGTGAGCTTCCTCCAAGCAAAGCAACAAAAGATAGGTGTTGGGATTACAGCGGCCAGTATTGCCTGGGCCACTCCCAGGCAAGAGCAAGTGGCTGAAAGAGCTGGATTAGAATATGGACAAGGACGAACTCATTGTTTGCTTCTTTGGTTGTAAACAGAAAGGAAAGTAGTTTATGCTAAAGTAATTTATACCAAATAAGGGTGGTGATTCTTGCTAATCTTCTAACCTGTAATAATTTTCAAAGTGTGGTCTTGCTCTTTGGCAAATCACATGAAAACATAAAGATGATGAAGTTGATACTGAAAGTGCGGTTAGAGATGGAAGGAAGAGTAGGAACAGTAATATCATCATGGTATACAGTAAGGACATGGAGGGTAGTCCAAAAATGCCATCGACATCTGAGTAGCTTGAACAAGCAGTAAAAGTGTTGATATATTACTGAAACTTCAAAGAACTTTTTTGTTATCATAGCTCAACTCTCAAGACTAGTGGTGGGGCTGGAGCAGAAAATATTAGGCCACTACTTACCAACTTATCATTTGTACTTTCTTCTCACCCCTCCCCTCACGGTGAGAACTCCTGCAATCCAGAGGATAAAATTGTAGTGGTAAAAGTGAGCAATGTTTAAAAAGGGGGATCATTCTGATTGATATTGCTTATAGGTATGTTCAGTTTGTGGCCTATAGGCAATGTGCAGCCTTGGACAACTTATATGCGGCCCCACAAGATTTTAAACTTGCAACATTATTGTCTAATTTTAGTGATATTTGCATGACTTAACACAACACTGTGTAGGAGAGGACACTGTAAGGTGCCGATTTTGCCTCCTGCATTTGACACACAGGAGGAAGTGGATATCCACCTGTATCAGATGTTACATGTGCCTGTGTGACTTGGCAAGTAAAACACTGCAATTGCTGATAATAGGATTTCCGTTTATCGTGTGTGTGTGTGTGTGTGTGTGTGTGTGTGTGTGTATACACATCTATAAAGACATGTACTACTTATTTTATTATTCTATTAATCACTTTCTTTTCATGGGCACAAAATACCTGACACTTTCAATTTAAAGGAGAGATTTATTTTATCTCACAGCTTTAGTGAATTCATTCCATTATTAGCCAACTCCAGAAATGGCATGGTAAAGGGTCTGGAAGAGAAAAGCTGGTTACATCATGCAGCCAGAAAGCAGAGAGGGAAGGGAGGAGCCAGGAACAGGAATACATCCTTGGAGTCATGCCCTAACGGCATGACCTCCAACTAGATCCCTAACGGCACATTCAGCACTGATGAATATAGCATCACCATGACCCAATCATCTTCCAAACACAATATTTTTAAGGGAAATATTTGATCCATACCGTAACATTCAACCCCTAGCCCCCAAAAGGCTCATAAGCATATCATTGTGAAAACACATTTAGACCACCTCTAAGAGTTGGTAAATTCATAACTTGCAGCATTGCTAAAAAGCCTAAATCCAAAGTCTCCTGAGATGCAAGGAAAAATCCATAGCTGTGAGCCCTTATAAAAATTAAAAATTTAAATATTTCTAATATATAATGGCACAGGGCAAACATTCCCATGCCAAAGGGGATAGTAGAATAGAAAGGGATCAAAACAAAGCAAGACCAAAAAACAGTGGGCAAACATTAATTCTTGTAGCTCAATGTCAAGCACCCAGGGCAAGTTGTGATAAGATGTGAACTCCAAAGGGCTTAAGCAGCTCTGCCTTTGTGAAATTGCTGGTTGAAGCACATGTGGACTGTCTCTTAGATTGGCTGTGCTTACTGCTTGGAGCTTTCTGCAGCAAATGTTCCATGTTCCTGGAATTTCCAACTTCCGGGAGTCTCCGTTTTACCTTCAGCTTTGCTCTCACAGTTTTATACACTGACCTCTCATGGCCTCCTGACTGGGACAGTGACCCTGCTGTATATGTTCATGTGGCCTTTCAGGCCTTCTAAAAGTTGAGTGGAAGACTTCATAATCCAGTAACTCTTGTATTCTCCATGCCTAAAAAACTAACACCATGTAGATAATACCAAGTTTTGCCACCACCTTGAGCAGTAGCCAGGGCCCACTGGACCATGGCTACAGTAGTCTTTGAGTGCCTGGATGGCTAAATTTGGGGGTACATTCCCTAGATGGCATTGAATGAGCAGGCATCCGAGGTACCCTTGTCAAATGAAAGATTTATAGTTTTGTACTCTTGCCAGTTTCTGAGATACCCTCAAGGCATCTTTCTTTTTGTCCCTGTACAAAGTGTACAAGTGCTTGGCTTCTTTCTAATGCTAATCTTTTCAGCAACTGTGTATCCATTTGCCCCAACTTTATAGGTGCTTCTTTCTTTTCTGCTAAAACTGCAAATTATTAAAATCATTCAGCTCTGATGTTTGCTCCTCATTCTCAATGTAGATATGGCTGAAAGTAGCAAGCAGTACCCAAGTTATAGCTTGAACATTGGGCTGCCTTGCAATTTCCTCCACCAGATTAATTAGTCCACTAATTAGTGTCAGGGCAAAATGTAGACAAATTTTCTGCCAGAGTGTAACATGCATGGCTTCTAGTTCAACTGCCAATGGAGACCTTATTCCCAACTGAAACCCCTTGAACCTGAAAGTATTATAAAACTAAAGACAAGTTCCTTGGAAAGAAATCAGCTAAACAGAATAGATTTCAAGGACCCCAATACATTTGAGAATCTAGTAAAGGCTGTTCTCTTAGTGGTTAGAAAATTGTCTTTGAGGGGGAAAAGTGTATTAGTAGAGTTTCAGATTTGACAAAGTCATTTTTACTTCAAGTGCTTCAACAATAGAAATATTTTAATAATTATAAAGGAATTAATATAAGATCTCAACATCACCAAGGAAGTCCAGAATTCAATTATACCTTTCCCTTATTATTTATGACCTTTCCTTCCTTATTATTGTCAGCAATGCTATTACTAGTAGTATACTTCTTAGTGCCCTGATATTTATCACAACAAAGAGCTTTTCCCTATGTAGAGTGCTAGTTCTTGCTTTAGATTTGTTGTAACCAGTAGTTCTGAACAAAGTTGTATAAAAGAAGATTCATATCAAAGTGAAGAAAAGTACCCCTCTCCATCCCTCTCCTAACTTTCCAGCTAGCATGCTGTGTTGCTTCAGGGGAAGAATTAAACAGAAAACAGATGAATAGATAAATTCTGGGCCTTTGAGTTCCCAATAAATTTTTAAAGGTTATAACAATGTTTGTATTTTCAAAACCCAAAATTTTTCATTTGTAGGAGACAAGATTTCCTAAAGGTTTGAAGGAAACAGAGACTTAAGTTGTGAACAAGCAAGAGTTAGGAAAGAGAACAGATGAATCCCTAGACCAGTGGTGGCAAACCCATGGCACACGTGCCACAGCC